CCGTACCCCATGTGCTAAGCTTCAGTTTTCTGTGATTTCTTTTCATCTACATTAGATATTAAGTCTCCTAAGGTCAAATTGTATTTCACCAAATAAGTGTATCTTTAACACCTTAGGTGTTACTTTAACCTCTCAGTTTAAGGGAGATTCTTGGATGGTTGGGGTGACAAATACTGGGAAGGGGTGTAAATGCATCTGTTGCTCTTCTCAGTTCTGCTAAACAATATCCCAGCCCTGGTTTTTTTCTTTGTCCTCCAGCTGTACAAATTACCTGTGAAATTTGTGGGGGGCAAGGGGGCAGAAATGCCTAATGTCCCCTTTCCCAGAAGCTTGGGATTGGCCACTGAGCAATGACCCTGGCGAGTTCCTAACCTAAAACAGGACAAGCTTGCCACTTCCATGCTTTGGAACCATTTCAGCAGGCATATGTGTGATTCTATACATAAATGGAGGAAAAAATAGATTCCCCAATGGAATAACATGGTTGTAAATACTGAATTCCATTCATTCTTTCATCCCAGCTCTGCCTCATTACTAATTTAGATGTGCAGTAGATGTGTGACTGTGACAGTGGGTTTTCGGATCACTATTAGCTCCATCTTGCAAGACTTCCCTTGGTTTGAAAAATGTCTCTCATTTGATACATCTCTTTTCTGGCTTCAAAGACTCAGTGATGCTTTTGCAAATTACATAAAAATGAAATAATTTTGGCGCACATTTAACAAAAAGCTGTTTATTTTCCATTCATAATAAAGTTCAGAACAAACAACCTGATGAAATGCAGAAATGGAATTACTTAATGTCTTTGGAAAGTGAGTACACTGTAATTCTTATGCCATATTGATATCTCAGTGATTAGTAGTAACAGAACTGACAAATTGCATGTATTTACTCATAAGAAAGTTTGAGATTTCAAAAGAATGTTCAAAACAAAAATTTAGAAGACTCAAACACTGAAGGTATTTTCAATTTTGGAGTTTATTTCTCTATTATAGGTCAAGGGTATTAGAAATTATAGTATGGGTTTCATTATGATTATTTTTGAAATGATTTCACTGGAATCTAGTCAGAAATATGTTTTTAGTAGTTTAGGTCTTTCAGACTACATAACGTTACCTTGATCATGATATACGTACAATCATTTGCAACTCTGCACCATTTTTGTATTACTTAAAGGCACTTTTAAACCTCTAAAGATCAGGTGGTGGCCAGAGAACTTTGAATTACACTAAGTGGACATCTCCAGTTTATAGATTTATGTCTCAAAATTATGCATAATATTACATAAAATTATCAAATTTGGGGCAAATTTATGATACCTCAACAAAACTTAATCCAAGTAATGATTTAAAACATTGTACAAAGATATGGCAGACCAGGCATTTTAGATAGCATTTTTTAAAATTTTCCTTATCTTTTTTGGTGAATGAAGGGACATACACAAATTTATTACTAATAATAATCCCTAATGTTTATTTATGTCCCAGATACAATTCAATGCTTAAAACAAGCCTCTGAGGTAGTTATGATCACCTCTGTTTACAACCGCGGGTACAAAATATTTTTTTAACAATTTGTAGCTTGCATTTTCCAATCAAATTGTCTTACCCTATTATTCCCAGTTCCTTCATGGTTTGCTTTAGGCCTTGTCTGTGATTACACCCCAAGGTCTAAAGAGCTAAGGACTAAGTGAAATATTCATCAATGTCCTCAAATAAAACGTGTCAATATGCAACTAAATCACTTTCAGAAATAGCTGGTAGGTTAATATTTATTGAAACTTCCTTTTTCAGGATTACTATATTCATTACCTTCATGCATTTTTCTGATCGTGTTAAAGTCTGTATAGAGTCAGTAATGTAATAAAATAAACACATTCATGGATAGTATTACAAAGGTGACTTTTTGGACAAGGAGCCCAACAGCATCTGATGAGATGTGTCACCAGCATATTGGTTTTTCTCTGAGGTGGCCTGTTGCTTGTGGGCTTGTTGGGCTCCCTCTGCTTATTGTTAGAACTCATGGCTGACAGACGAAAGAGTTCATGCCAATCAGAAATGAGTAGCAAATCTTGCAGTGAATATTAAAACAGGGTTAAAATTGAGATGTGGATCATCACATTCGTGGTTAGGGGTAATTCCCTGAGCTATGTCAGTTCTCTTTACATCACCTGCTATGATGTGGAGAATGCTTAGGATTTGTATTCATCAAGCTTACTTCTTCTAGGAATTAACTCCCTTATCCCATGCCTCAGTCTTGAGGTTGAAACAGGAAACTGCATGTCAGGAAAACATGCTCACATCCTTTGGTTGGTTGGTTGGTTGGTCCAGAAGTTCCATCTAGAATAATAATAGGTCCTTTGCCCAAGAATCTGAGCACTGAAGCTAGCAGATATGAAGGCTGAACATTGCTGAAGGCAAGTCACTATGACGGCTGTGCTCTGGAAAGAAAGGATGCCTGGAGTTCATTTGCTTCTCTGATTCTATGACAGACCTAATCCTACCAATAAATTGCTCTCCTGGACTTAAGCTGGCCAAATTTGTTTCTTGCCACATGCAACCAAAATACTCTAATAAATATAAAGCCAGACATTTTCAGAAACAAATGCTTCAGACAAGTTAAAATGTTGACATTACATAGAGCAAGTTTAGAACATCTCCTTGCAGGTGAGTTCGATTTGCAAGCAGCTATGTATACAGGGGAGATTATTTACTGCCCATATGAAGGGTACCGTGGGAGCACTGAGAGAATAGTACTAGCCAGAACTATGTGGAGCCTCAGCCCAGGTGGAACATGTCTCTAATTTTGTGCAGAGTAACTTAGATGTTATTCTTTTTTCCAGTGGCATGAAAAGAGGATAGATTTTAAAAGAGAATAGCACAGTTCTAAATTCTTTTTAATAGAGGACCAATTAAATAAATTATGGTACATCTATTGAAAAAATGTGGCAGATCCATATAGATCAAAAGCAAAAAATATTTACGTAAATACATCAAGTTCAGAGCAGCATGTAGAGTATAATCATATTCAAATTACCATCTTGCATCTTGTAGGTCTAATATTTCTGGAAAAGTAACTAAGAGCATATAATTAACAGCTACCCACTGGTAGATAAATGGGTTGTTGGAAGGGAAGTAGCATTTTCCATTTAACATCTTTCTAAATTGCTTTATTAATATTATGAAAATATCTTACCTTTATAAGTTAAAAGATGAAACTAGAATCCCTAGGAAACTCTTTTAGCTTTACCATTTACCATCTGTATACCTCAAGGTGAGTTGCTTGTCCTTTGTAAACTTTTGTTTATTCTGTAAAATAGTGATAATCACATCACCCAGGGTACTTAAGTACAAAGTCGTTCTTTCAACTCTAAGACCTGAGGTCCACAATCTCTAAACCTCTAGACCTGGCTTTGGCAGGAGAATGGCCCACCGTGGACCATCGAAAGACACAGGCAAAAGTCTATTTGTGTAGATGTGTGTTTTCTCCAGAGAACACCTAAGCTTCAAATGGGCCTGCAAACCAAAAGGTCCTAAGTGAGTGCAGTAGACTGGAAGCTCTGAGAGGGCCGCCTGTTACTCATCTTTGTATTCCTAAGCCTAGGGCACACTTAGCCATTAAAGAATGCATTGAAAGCATGAATAAGTAAATGGGTGTAATGAAATCTTATCTTTATAAACTACACATATTATTACTGTAAATATTATTACTTTTTTATACTTCCTAAGAAATTTTCTATACTGAATATTCCTTATTAAAATTCACTTGACACTTTTTATTGTTTAAATATGAAGTGCCCCCAAAGACTTGTGTACTGAGGGCTTGATCCACAGTGCAGCAATGTTCAGGGCTGGGGCTCTTGGATAGGCTGTTGGATCACAAGAGTGGTAACATTACCAGTGTGGTAATCCACCCATGGCTTCATAGCCAATGGGTTTTCAGGAGGTGAGCCAAGTGGAGGAAGTAGATCACTGGGGACATGCCTTTGAAGTATATTTCTCAACCCTGGGCCCTTCCTCTCCGGCTCTCTCTTGGCCTCTGCTTCTTGGCCACCATGAAGTGAGATTTCCTCCATCATGCCCTTCCTCCATGATGTTCCACTTACGATGGACTAAAGCAATAGAGCCAACAGACCAGAGATGGAAACCTCAGAAACCCTAAATCAGAACCTTTCCTCCTCTCAGGCTGTGTCAGGCATTTCGTCACAGCAGAAGCAACTAAAAGCTACATAAAATCAATTACTTTATTAGGTAACATTCACATAAAATTTTAATCTAAACTCCAAATCCAGTATGTTGGTGGGCAGCACAGAGAGGGAGATTTTTCTCTGTGCCCAACATAGGTCTAAACTGGGACAGGCTCCTATAATAATACACAGATTAACAAGGGACAAGCAATCACAGGTTTATTGACATGGACATTTCATTCTGCGTGGAAGATAGCTGAGCAGAACTCAGAGAGGTGGCTCAAAGACTGTCCTCCACTGAAGAAAAGAAGGCAGAGTGTTGAAAAAGCTCCTTAAATACAGTTAAGGTTTGCTTTGCCGATTTACATCTGTGCAGTCTCCAATAATAAGAGTGTCATGATTCAGAGTTATCCTCTCTTCCTGGTGCAAATTTAGAGACACACATAGAGTAGAGTCTTCCATTACACATGCAACTTTCCCTTGAAAAGTTAACTTCGACCCTTGTTTTCAGAGCTTCTCCCTTCTTTTGCATCCCCCATTTGCCAAAATAATCAGCTCACAATAGCCCTTAATGATTAGCTGGATTTATACCCACTGGCCAAGAGTAACAACCATATGTAACTGATGTCTGCTCTCTACAGTCTCTGAGTCAGTGTGTCAAGAACGGTGATGAAGGCAATGTCTATAATAAAATTAACAGCAGTGTTTTCTCCTGTAGAAAGCCAGGTTTCCATAGGTTGAAAAGCACTGGACTAGAAACAGAAGGTTTCTCTATCCTTTCTGTTTTATTATGTGATTTGGTTAATTCACTCTATTCTGTTAATCCTTTATTTCTTCATCAGTAAATTCCAAGTGCTGAAATATACAATATCTAGGATTGGTTCTTGATCTATGTGCCATAAAGCATTCTGTAGTCTCCGGGCTTCATCTGAAATACTCAGCAAGCCTGTAAAACAACAGGAAAATATTGTTATTACATTTTATAAATAATAAACACAGGCTACAGGAAGGTTGAAGGATTTGCAAAAGTCATAGAGCCAGAACCTCTATCTAAATGCTTCTTGCCTATAACCTGTTTACCCTAAGGTTAGCTGAGGAAAAAATTCAATGTCCCCAAGGAAAATAGGTTTTGGTTACCAGGAAAGAGCGAGTAGGTTATTTACTCAAAACACAACTGGATTTGAATCTCAAATCTCTCATCTACAAAATCGAGTCATCTTTGTATCAGTTATTAGTCATCTAAGCTTCAGTTTTTATAGAAAAGAAAAGAAAAAGTGCAAGTCTTCTAGCTTCGTTGCAGGATTAAGTAAGAACGAGTGAGAAGAACCTGCTCCAGATTCATGCATGGTAGTCTAAATCCTTCTTATCCTGGGTCAGCTGACTGCTCAGTGTTTGGTGTTTTCCCAGCTTCCTCAATTCAGAGAGGCTTTTTGATGGGACAGGGTGGTTTTATTTTTTTTAAATGTAAAAGTGCTCTCAAAAAAGGGGGAGGCTCTAGCATCAAGAAATAAAACACACAGTGAGTCTCCCTGGGAAGTTGAATAGCATCAACCCAGGGGTCTTAGCACAGAGTGTAGAGAGAACAGAGGGCTGTGCCTTTCCTTTGGATGATGGTAACGAGCACCAAATATAAAAGAAATGAGTTTCACAGTGTCTTAGTTACTTTTCTCATTGCTGCAACAAACACACAACACCTAAAGTTAAAGGAGGAAAGGTTTATTGGCTCACAGTTTGTAGAAGTTTCAGTCCATAGTCAGCTAGCTCCAAGCCAGGATGGCAGGGCAGAGAGGCATCGCAGAGGAGAAATGGTTCATGTGTGGCTAGCAGAAGGCAGTGAGCACCAAGCAGCAGCAGCAGCAGCAAGCCTGCCTTCCTGCACTCCCTCTACATTCCAACCAGGCCGTGACACCACCCATAGCTAGCCCAGGGCTTCCATTACCCCCTCCTTAATCCCACCTTCACATCCTTAATCCACATCTTCACACCCTAATCCAGCCACCTTCAAGACGCTCCACCTGTGACTGCGTGAGCCTTTGGAGGACATCTAGGTACAAGCTGAAATACACAGCCCTTTAAACCTGAGAATTTTCCTTTAACCATTAAAAATAACCCATTCATAGGCACGTAGTTACCAAACAACTTCTCTCTACATATGCTCAAGTGTTGCATATTTTGTTTGTTGATATGTTCTTTTCAAGGTGCTGCTACTGAAATCCCATGGTGGTGTGGATGTTGGCCCCTCTGGGAAGGGTCAGTGCTAGTGAGGATATTGTCCCTGGGCACGGGGTCCTGTCTGCTACAGTGCTGGGAGGGCTGACCTCACAGTGTCCGGGGAAAGACGCACGTGAGAGGTGATGACTCTGGACAAAGACTCTGAGAGATGACTGCAACCTAACAACAACGGGAAAAGTTAAAAATTAAATTCCAAGTACAACAAGGTGATCCATTGTTTAAAATGTAAGTTGTCAAATGGATGCACATTGAGGCGATACTCTTAAGTGAAATAAAGAGGCCACACATGTGTAAATACCGAATAGTTTCTCTAGTGTGAGAAACTGAAAGTGTAAATAAGGACTAAAAGGTATAATAGATAATGTGAAATAGGAAGAAAGAGGACAAAGGGGAAGGGGAAGTGGGAGGGGGAGGGGAAAGGAAAGAAGGGAGTTGAATTAATATGAGAAAATGAAAATATGGAAACAAAGTCTATGTGAATAGGGAGGGATGGAGGGGTTGAAGGGAGAGCAAGGGAATGGGGAAAAAACAAGACCCAAGAAAGAGTGTGTAAAGGTGCAGATTTCCAATGATGAATGTCATTATATTGCATACCTAAAATGTACCAATAAAATTAATTTTTAAAAAATAAAATGTGGCCCGGGGATTTAGCTCAGTGGTTATGCCACCTGCCTTGCAAGCACAAGGTCTTGAGTTCGATCTCCGGTACTAAAAAAATAAAAAATAAAAATAAATTGACTAGAGAGTAACAGAAGAAAAAATGTTTTAAAAAAATAAAATGTAAGTTGTCTCTCTATCCTCCTGCTATATGATTTTCCCCAAGTTCTTTGTAACCTGTGATATTGTCCCTGGAACGTTGGGAGACGAAAGGGTTAGAAGCAACCTTAAGACAACTATTCTGCCAAGTAGATCTTAGTTTTATGCAGCTTGGGGAAGGGTTGGAGCACTCAAAGGAGGGGCGGGTGCTATCCTAAGAGTGACTGCACCTCCAGAATAGGAGAGGTTGCCAAGTTCCTCCACTGGCATCCAATCCAGCCAACACCGATCCTGCTCTACCTCCCAGCTTTCTGGCTCCTGGACCGATGACATCAATTTGTGCCCCTGAGGTCCAGAGAGCCTTTCCAGTGAGGTGCATAGTGATGGATGGGTTAAGGGAGATAATTTCTAGATCCCAAATTCCACTTGCTTACTCTTTCTTAAGACGAATGTGTCTAAGAACTTGCCTGTGTTTGCAATATCAGGCAGATTCTCTTATTCCCAGGATCACTTACAGAATTATTTTTTCCCCTGTGTTCCAAAAAAGATTTTTTTCCATCTATCTTGAATCATATTGTAATATACTGCAATGTGGTGTACAATTCTCCAGGGTAGGACATAAGAGACACGAACAGTATTTGTTTCTGAAATGCCTCCGTCACTGAACACTGCAAACTCACGTGACAGGTTTCTGTCTTTTCTTGTCTTACATGTATTTCTGCTGAGGACAAAACCAGTGGTTTGGAATTGGAGTCACTTAGCCTTTGTTGAAATACTCTGAGTTAGAATATTTGTAGATTCTATTCTAGGATCACAAAAATATTCACTTTTGTTTAAAGATTTCTCTCTTCTCTACTAGAATTATCTTGAAAAGACGCATCAGCCACGGGGGCAGATCTGTGAAAGCAAAGCAAACATCATCAGTAGTCAATTTTAAAAACTTCAATGTGTAATTTTATGCAGACAGAAAATTCATGGCAAGGAACTATGTGTACTCTAACCATCCATCCATCCATCCATCCATCCATTTATATGTGCATTTATCATTTCATACATCAATCTACTCATCTATTTATCCATCATTTCTTCCATTTATCTAGCTAAGGATTGGAACAGTCACGATGTATAAAAAGCATGCTGAGAAATTCCTTTCTACGAAAAAATACACTCTCTCTTTATTTTCCCCATTCTCAGCAAAGAGGAAAAGAAAGGAGCTTGGTAAATACCCTCCGTCACCTTCTGCCTCAGTCTGTGTCTCAATTACATACAGTGCAGGATTTTGAGTAAAAGAGACAGGCTCATAATTATTCCATAGAAATCGATATTAGATTTTCAAGTAAAAGAAATATTGAGATTGGTTAATATGTTATTTTTTTAATCATTTGTTCAGATCTTAAGAGAAACTTTCTCTTTTTTTCCCCCAAATTGTTCTCATTTATACATTTTTGAGCTGCTTATTTATCCCTACTATATATGTATTGAACTTGGCATACCTTAAAATAATTATGGATTTTCTTACAAATAATATTCTTAACAAAAATTATCAATAAACTTTTACAAGCCTCAATCTTTGTAGTGGCCCAATGTTCTTTTCTTTTTGTTTTTAATTTCTACATAACCCTGTCCTAACCCTGTTCATCCTTCTATATACTAAATAATTGGGAGAAGAAAATCTCCAGATGTTTATTAAGAGATACATTTCCCAAAAAAGTGTTCCTTTTTCTATTTAATATTTATTTATAAAAATTATATTTTGAATTTTGTGATCAATTTTGTAGAATTATTTTAAGATAGTAACACAGTGAGAATTGTATCTTTGGCCAGTACTTCACATTATGATGAAATATTTTGTATGTCAAATGAAATTGTATAAGAGGATTGATCACTTTGCAAAATTGTTTTGGAAAGTATGCCAGCACAATAATCTAAAGTTCATATTTTTCAGCCCCTTTGTAGAATTCACAGTACTTAAATGAGTAAGCAGCACAGCATGTACTACATAGCTTTAGTGGGTCAAGGTAAGACTGCTGGTATTTTGAATTGCTATTACTTTTCTAGAAGTAAAGACAGCTTTGGCTAGAGTGGCTTGAGTTGTCAGGCCCCTGCTGACCAGTGACCTTCAGATATTTACATATTTGACAAGCTCCCAACGCGGTCAGTTGCTCAGCACTAAGGAAAATCTTACATGATTGCATAAGCATGTTGCCCTAGCACTTGGCCTCCTTGTGAACAGAGAGGCATATTTCTAAGAGAAATGTGCCCGCTGGGTCTCTCCTGGACAATTCATCATATATTATTATGCAAAGTAAAAGTTGGCAATAAAAAGCTTGGTTAGGAAAAAATGGAAAGAAAAATAGAGAATTGGATTAATTTCAACTTTTTAGTGTAACTTGTATTCTGTTATTTCCAAGTATCTGTTTGGAAAATATGAAGTGCCAACATTTTACATAATGATGTCATTGCTGTAAAAATCATCTTTAAAAGTTTTCCTTTGACTTTTCATTTAGCTAGTTCTACCATAAGCTGAATTGAGGTCCATCAGTCAGAACCCAAACAAAAAACAAAGTGCCCAGCATCTTGAATAAAAATTGAGTATCTTGTTTTGGTTTGGTTTTTAATGTCATATTTGAAACCAGAACCAGTTTGTCTAAGGCTGACTGATTTTTTTGAAAAGTATACTTTCCTCTAAGATGAGCTTTCACATCAAAAGACATTGCAAAGCTTCTTAAATATTAAAGTCAATCAGTCAATTTATCTTGGACCAGTAGGTTGACTTCTGGAGAGTTTTGAAATAGCTGGGTTGTCTTTAACTATCACAGACCCATCTAAATGAAAACTCTACCAAGAACCAATAGACAGCTATTGGAAATATTTGCCATTTTAATGGCCCGATATACTTTATTTGGTAAGATTAAGAAGGGATGAAAGTGGGCCGGGGATTTAGCTCAGTGGTTCCGCTGCCTGCTTTGCAAGCACAAGGACCCGGGTTCGATCCCAGGTACCAAAAACAAAAAAGCAAACAAGAAGGGATGGAAGTGCTATTTTGTATCATCTGACTTCATTCTAGTGTGGTCTGAATATGTATTAATCTAGGCCATTAATTCATATTAATCTTATCTAATTGTGAAAAGGGGAAAGGAATAAACAGAGAAAGAGAATAAACCCTAAGAAAATGCTTACCTATTCTGGGAGTGAAGATAAGAGCAATTAGCAACTTTCCGGAAATTATTCCTTCCCTACCCGATGGTTCTACTCCAAGAATGACGGCTCCTTACCTTGTGCCTATGTCTGAACTCAAGAAAGAGGGAACATGAAGGGTTGAGATCCAGGGACACGGAAAGTACAGACGTGAATCTGCGGCTTGTGACTAGGATTCATGGCAGTTAGGGCAGTAAGAAAGACCTGGAAAGTAAATGACAGCTCATTCCATTATTTCCTGCATGAAAAACTCATCGCGTGGCCTGCAAGTTACTAGGGTAAGTTCTAGATGTATACACAGAAGAGGCAGTCCTTGCCTGCTGAGTGTTTAACACAGTGCCAGACAGGCCACCCTGCAGTTTCCAGCTTAGTACCTTCCAGTCTCCAGTGTTAAAGGGTGGGCCCCCTACTGGTGGGAAGCAAGAAGCAGGAATGGCCTTGAGTGATACTGGGGTCCCAGCTCCCTCCTCTCCTCTCCCTTTTATTTCCTAGCTAGGAAGGGAGTGATTTTGCTCTGTCACACCCGGGCCATAATGTTCTGCCTCACCGCAAACTCCAAAGCAATGCGGCCAGCAATGGATTGAAACCTCCAAATCGGTGAGCTGAAGTACAACTTGTCTCTTGCACAGGTTCGAGAAAACCAGATGAGGCTTCCCAAAGAAGACGTGATGACCTGACTGAGCCGGAGCCCTGGGAGCTGAGTGGAATGTGCTTAATTAGCCTGTGCAGGAAGAGAAGGGACCAACAGAGAACTGGGAATCACAGGAGGAGCCCTGAGACTACGCCAAGGCCCACAGGGGCAAGACCTGCTGGTGAGTTGAGTGGTGCAGCAGTCTATGCCTTAGAGCAACGGGGTTGTTTGTGGGACCAAGGCAAAAAGAAGTGGAAGAATAGTTCATCCGGATTTGCCTTTCAAGACTTACCTCTGGGCTGGGGTGCGGCTCAGGAGTGGACCACCTGTCTCGTCTCCAGCCGACAGCAAACACCATCTCCACTTGCAGTGCTGGGAGAAGAATTCTTGAAAGGAGCAAACACTGGACAGAAAGCTGTCAGGAGGCTGTGGAATTACAGTGCTGCCTTTGATTCTATGTGGGGGAACTTAAGAACCTCGATGTGAGATTTCTTACCTAGGAGGAAAGCTTTCCGTGACCCATTTAGAAACACAATCTTCCTGGATATGGGAGACTACTTTTAAACACACTCTGTTTAACATATGACTGAGTCAGCACAGGCTGCCTTAACAAAATACCTCAAACTAGGCAGCGTAAACAATGAAAATGTACTCAGAGTTCTAGAGGCTCAAAGTCCAAGATGCAGGCGCTGGAATGACTGGTTTCTGGTAAGGGCCATTCTCCTGGCTGGTAGATCGCAGTCTTCACATGGCAGACAAAGGAAACAGAGGGCCTGTGTAGGAGGGAGAGCATATCACCCCTAAGCCTCTCCTTATAAGGGACCTAGCCTCATCACGGGGCCTCTTTCTCCTCATAACCTCTCCTAAACTTAATTATCTTCCAAAGATCATCTCCAAATACCATCACCTTGAAGCTCAGGACTTCAATATATAAATCTGAGGAAGTGAGAAGGGACCACATTTCAGTCCTAGCCTTTCAATTGGGATATTGTTAGTCATGTAACTAGTGCCCAAACACATAGTCTCTTTTGGGGAGGAGCTGCAAGAAATCGAGAACCTTCAACTATGTCACTTTAAAAATAAGGAGACTACTGTCTTGTCCCTCATCATCACTGTTGAACATTTTGGTGTTAGAAGATAGTTTCTTCCAGTGGTCACATTTTTTTCTCGGGGTGACAGAGTATAACATAATAATGTTGGTAATGATACACTTTGCTGCAGTATTACAGAGTATTGATTGTGAATACCGATAATGTAGGGCACTGTGGAGACACACACAAAAAGGCAGGGAAGTAAAGCCCCAGAGCCAGCATCTAAAGGAAAATCAGGAGTCTGGACTTCGCAGGGTAAAACAGGAGAGGAAGAAGGGAGGAAGCGGGGAGGCGTGGCTGCTGCAGAGAGAGCTGAAGGATGCAGGAACAGGAGGAGCAGCAGGATTGGGATGTGGTTTTCAGTAAGCAGGAAGTGGTCTCCCCAGAAGGTCCCTGAGGGCCACAAATCATCAAGGCGGCCTCCTCTGGACTGCAGGGCCACTTTGTACCCAAGTCATTGCATCACTTCCTCCAGTACAGTGCGTTCTAAATCAATTCTGAGAAGCACCTGATGTCAGCTGGTAAACTTGAGCATCAAGTTGGGGGTGCACTATGTTTAGTTACCATCCCTTTAATCAGCAAATATTTCCCAGGCACCTCCACTCCTCAGACACAGCAGGGAGGCAAAGTGGACGTGCGCGGCCACCATTAGGCACCATTGTATACATTTCCCTCCTAATGATTTAAGGTGAATTCTCTCCCCCTTTTGTCAATTAAACAAACAAGCAAATGGCATGAAGTTTCAATTGAACTATTTTCTTTTGAACTGAAGACACTTGAACTTGACTGAGTAGACAGTAAGCCCAGATAAGTTCCCCTGGGGGTTAAAGCGTGCTGTCTCAGTGACCAGGAATAAATCCAGGCGCAGGATAGCTGCAGGCCAGGGGCAAACATAGAGACCTCTCCGAAGTGCATTCCTCCAAACTTCTAAGAATGACCCACTGACCAGTAGACGTGTCTTGGTCACTTTCCTGTCACCATGACACCTGAAACTGAAAGGAAAGAGGTTTATTTAGGGTCCAGTCTCAGCCACGGTGGGCTGGCACCCAGGCACAAACAGGATAGCGGAACAGAAAGATCCTCAGCCTGTGGCAGCCAGGAGGCAGAGAGAGAGAAGGGCGGAACGGGGAAGGGGGCACCCTCCCCTTCATGCCCCAGTGACCCACCTCCAACCAGGCCGCTCCTAACAGCACCTTGGCTGTGCGCTCATCCACGGAAGAATCCACCTGAGCACTGCGCCCCAAGACCCATTCACCTTCCACACGTGAGAATTTGGGGGACGTCTTAGCTCTCAACCATGACAAGATTTTCCTCTAAAAGAAAAATGGCACCTCTCTCCCAAGTAGTCAGAGGCTATGTGAGCATATTTTACACACACACACACACACACACACATCTTGACTACTTTTCATTTCTGAAACAGAAGAATTCTCAAAGGACCATTTTCTGAAGCATTAAAATTCTCAAAAAGGTTCCAGAATAGCACATTACTACAACCTGACACCATGTTTTCCATATTACCCAATCAGGGCTCGAGGGCAGCAACGCACCGTGCCTCTAAGAGCCGGCTCCGTGCTGCGCTGCCCAAGTGCGGAGGAAATGGCTGGGGCGAGCTCCGCACAGGAGGTGCGGGGCCCCCTCCCAGCCCGCCCGGCCAGCTCATTACCGAGCGGGCCCCACTCCTCCCTGGTCACGGGTCGCTTGCTTCCGTCCTTCCCAGTCACGCCTCAGTGTGGAAACACTCAGCCAGGCCGCAGCAGGCAGCTCAGCGGGGCTTGCTGAGCTGGTCGAGGAGCTGGAGCTTGGAATCTGCAGGTCTACTCAGAGTGACACAATGTCCCCTCGGTCTAATTTTCCTGGCAGTCCCAGGGCTGCTGACACTGCTAGCCCTGCCAATGTCCCCACTCTCAGTGCTCCCTGCACCCGGGGAAGCTTGAGGTTGAGGATTCCATGCTCTTACAGGCTCCGGGAACAGTCAGACATTAGACAGAAGCCCACCTCTTTGAGGAGGGAAATAGGTTGTCTGTTCTCCTGTCAGCTTTTTCTCTGCATAGGCACCGGGAGCTCCTAACCGGTTTCAGTTCGCTAAAAGTTAAAGGGATCAACTGCCTGCTCTTCGTGAACGGGAAGCTTTGACGCTGACTGGGATCTGAGTCTTCACGCTTGGCATAGTTGCTGAGAGAGTGCATTGCTCCAATCGGAAGCAGCTGCAGCTCTGAGGACCAGGCCCGGCCCCAGCAGGAGCTCATCAGGCTCCTGAGCTGAGCACTGAGGCACGCCTGTGTGGCTCTGCATTCCGGGGAAGCCCTGGTTACATTTAGGAACACTCCAAGTTTCTTTCTCCTCGGAGCCCACACTCCTGAGACATAGCTGAAGGAGCATTCTGGTACTCTTTAGATTTACATAAGAAGAGAAGACAGGGGAAAGAGGAGGTGGAGGAGGAAGAGGAGATAATTAAGATCAATTTTGTTTGTGTGTGCTGAAGCTAGATGTTAGGCCGCATTGTAGGGAGTGTGCCTTTTTACTGACACCTAACAATTGGTGCCACATCGTACAGCAGGTGTGTAAGTCTGTCCAAGATAAAGACAAGCAGCACTTACTACAATGTCCCGTTCTTGATGGCCCATTGTCTCATCAGTGCAATAAGATAGACATTCATCTCATACGGCGAATCTGTGGTGTGTGGGGTGTGTGTGTGTTGAACTGCAGGTAACAGAACACATACATGATCTTAATAAAAGAGGTGTCTCCAACGTAACCATGTCTGTGTAGGCAGCCCTGGGGTGAACTCGGGGCACAGTGGCTGTACCCTCGGAGCTGGCATTACGGTCTCCATGGTCACCAGTAATGATGGGTGTTGTCTCACTGCACGGTCTGCTCACCTCAGTTCTGGGTATCACAGCCACCCAAGGCGACAGGGAGAGAAAAGGGGCAGCAGGTGCACAGACCCTCTCTTCAGCAAAGCTAACCTTTTCCAGCAATGCTTGCCAGAGTTCTGCTGCTGTCATCCCAGCCAAAAGACTGGGACATGGCCACCTCTGGCTGCCAGGGAAGCTAGAAAAGCAAGAAGATGAGGAGACCTTCCCATGGCTCAGGAAAGGGGTGACTCCTGCCTGCACCTGGACACCTTTGCTCTGCAAACTAAATTGGGGTTCTGTTGGCAAGGGAAGAGTTGGCAAGAACATGGCTATGGAGTAAGCAACGGACGGTGTTTACTACCCAGGATTACAGTAAAATTCACACATACAATTCATACATTTTCCATACATGGAAAATGTCTAACCATATCTGAAACACAGTAGGTACCAAGAAAACAGGAAGTGTGTGAAGATGCAGAGCCTCGGGGAAGTGGCCAGCCTGGAACTCGGTGGGTCGGAATGTGTGAGTGTGGGTGAGGCTGGACACTGCGAGGCTCTGAGAGCCTTGATTGGTCTTTATTTGTGAAAAACACTGATGAAAACCATGATAGCTTCTATTGCTATAGAAAAAGTTAAAAATTCCCCTTTGACACTGAATCCATTAATGTCGGAAAACAATTTACCATACATACGTGGTTTCATCATAACATATGGTGGATGCTTAAATTAACTAGAGCAGAAGACACGCTGCCATGAATCTCCTTCTAGACACCCGTTCTCACTTCGAAGACACTGAAGCCGTCATCTGAAGCAACTTACGGTTATGTTTACAGCAACGTCTCTCAGGTAAAAATACTGCAGTGTGTCCTTATCAACCTTCTCCACCAGACCTGGCGCCATGTGACCCTGGCTCTTCCCCAAAGTCAAGATGACCACGAACGGTAAACATTTTGAATCGACTCAGGACATCGAGGCAGCCAGGACAGCATAGCTAAAGACACTCAAGCAATATTTTCAGAACTGCTTCAGAAAGTGGCAAGAATGATAGCATGAGTGTGTTTGAAGCAAGGGAGAGCACATTTTTTGAGATGCATGGCAATGTGTTTGTCACTGTAACAATTTTTTTAAATTTAAGCATTAACCATGTTTTGGATTGCTCTCCCTTGGCTTGTTAGTGATCTTTTCCAGGAATGTGAAATGGGAATTTAGTCTTCAACGCTGGACTCTCCTTCTCTAACAGTAAGTCTCATGCACTTCAATGCAAGCTCTGACCACACCTGCAGTTCACAGACACAACCACCTCCTGGAGGCACATCCAGTCCAGCATCCAAGCTTTAGGAGGGGTTCTAGCATCCACACCAGATGTCTTCTCTCTCAGGAAAGCTAGATCTTGAGGATCAAGGGAGGGCTTTCTAGACATATGATGAGCAGTAGATGCAATCAGTCCCACAGCAAGTTAGAGCAGAATCAGAGAACTCCAGGAGGACGGGCTTAAGGGGTTCTTGAAGAAGACATCTTGGGATTACGCAGACCAGAGCCAACTGCAAGGGAGTCTGGAGCAGACAGGCTCACCCTGCTTTGTCTAGTGATGCCTAAGATTTTCAGAAGTGAGAAAGGGGAAGTAATTTTCCAGCTGGATGGAAGTGTGTGAACCAGTAGGTGGTTGTGAGAAAGAATATCACATGTGTGCAAAACACTGGCCCTGTCAGGAGGATTCTGTTGGGGAATGAAGACAAATGTTTGGGATGGTGGGCTGACTCTAGGATGTGTATTTTTGACTGAAAATTTTCACATTTTATCCCATTTACATTAGGAACTCTGAAGATTTTGATTCTCAAACACAAATGGATAGGACAATTTTTAATGTGTTGGTGAAGTGCAGCTGGGGTGGATTAGAGACGTAAAAACAGAAGAAAAGACTTGGACAGTAGTGTCTTTTCATTCTTCAAATATGGGGAGTAAAGCCCTAAATTTGAGAGTAACAATGGGAACATAAAGGAAGGAAACAATGTGAGAATATTACCAAGGAGAACTTTTACAAATCTTAAAGAGAGGTCAAAAATGACACCATGATTTGGAAGCCTGGTGACTAGAAAATCATGAATTCAACTTTATCAGTCAAGGTAGACTGATTTCCAGGGTAACTGGATCCATACACGCAGTAGAGTTTACCTCTTGCTTGTGTGGATCTGTTGGGCAGGTTGATGCTCTCCCAAATGGCTCTTCAAGGGTGTCAACTCCTCAACTGTGGATTCTCCATGATGCCAGGCTTCAGGGTCACAGCTTCAGCCAGCAGGATGGGAAAGACACTGGGACCTGGTGCGCAGGGTCCCTGAAGCCAGAACACACAAGCCCACACCCCTCTCTGCCTTCCATGCACTGCCCAGAACTCAGGCGCAGGACCCCGGACAGAGCAGCTGCTCTGCATGGATGAACACCCAGCAGTCCTCCCATACTCGGTTATGAGCAGAATCTTATAAAATATTTTCAGCATAAAATAATGCTGTAAGTGCACTATTTTTTCTATTAAATTCTTCTGATAGGAAAACTCTACCTACACATTTTTTAATTGGCAAGGTCTACTTGTTGCTTATTTCTCAAGAACGTCTCTATTGCATGAACGTGGCAAGCCCACCTAATTTCTCAGCAACTGTTTATATGGTTAGAAGAAATAGAGAAATGATGCTGTTGGAAAGGGAATTGCATGTTAGAAAGGAAGATGCTCTCTCTAACCATGAATTAGACAGGTCAGTTATTTACATTTTCTCCAAATCGCCTTTTAATCAGCAAATGGTAAGTCTAACCATGGAGCAACATTCAAAGATCCATACACTGTGATTCCAATTTATTTTTCTGGCCTTTTTCCTCTGCTCTCTAATCATGTACCTTTTCATTGGGAAATCAAGCAGCAGTATTATTATTATTGTTGTTGTTTTTATTGTATTTCTAGAAAATGCAAAGGAAAACAAAATTGAATAAGAAATAATATAAATTATTTTCTCATATGCTAGTTATAAAGAAAACTTTGTTTAATTTTAGCAAATAAATAGGATTCTTTGTTGTAATTCTGCATGCAACACGTGCTTTTGTGGATGAGGGTTTTTAGTGGCAACTTTCAAAAAATGACATCAAATTTGTGGCTTTTGTCTGCCTTGATTTTGAGGAATCTCTTGCCTTTTAGGATTCATTCAGTGATGAGAGAAGTGTGGTTAGTGGAGAGTGTGGATCGAAAAAAGAAAAGATGGAGCAAATGAGAAAAAATGAATTTTCTCAAAAGACTGGGGGTGAGATTTATAACCAAACAGCAGAGGCTGGTGTGAGGCAGCACTGTGTGTAGTGTTAGGAACATGAGCTCTGGTGCCAAGTGCCCTCTTTTATTTGAGGGCTTTTCATTCTGGATCTAATGTTATCACTGTCACCCCATACCCAAACCTCATGACTTCGAGCAATAAGCTCTCCAAACCACCATGTTTATATTTTTTAAATAATAAAAATAATAGTGTGTAGCTCATAGGGCTATAATCATGGTGAAAGGTACACTCCACACTGGACTTATCATCTGATCTCTGTCACACTGCAAAAGCTCCATTGATCACAAATGGCTGCTGCCCTTGCTCTGGAGGAATGAAGAGATGGT